GAAGATTCGTTTCGAGATTGTGTACGCTCGGTAACGCGCGGGGAAGGTTAACGCCGAATAATGCTGTCGCTTTCATCGTTCACGATCGATACGGGAGCAAACGACACTCCGCGTATTTATATCGCGACGATTATTCGTAATTAGACCCTCCTCGCGATCGTTCGTTTCGATCCTGCGCCTCTAACTACGTTGTTTCGTTGGTCGATCATATTCAGAAGAAAAATTGAAAAGAAATGTTTGAATCGTTCGTTCGTATCGTCGTTCATGGAGGACTCGATTTAATGGAAAACAGAAAATTTGTACCTGTGTGTGTTTGTGTACGTGTTTATGTATGGATGTGTGAGTATGCGTGTGTGTGAGGTGTTTAATTAATCCGTGCTGTCTACGATGCAGTCCTTTAACTTTTCATTCGCGATAATGGCGAGTGGTAGAGATCGAAATACACGCTAGTCGTCCGGGTCAAAGTGATTGACGCTAACTCTCGAATATTCTCAAACTTTAGTCTTAAAATATTTAATCAGTCTTTTAAGTACCTATGCAGTTTCACCAGATTTCTCTGCTTCTGGAGCAGTTGATTGCCTCAGCTCGAAAACCAATATATCCGAGCCATCAAGCTCAGATTGCCTCCATCTTAAAAATAGTCTCAAAAGTTATCCCAAAAATATAGAACTTCCTCGCGTATCTATAAAATTCCACCAAATTTCTCTACATTTCGAGCAGTTAATCGCTCCACTTCGAAACCAACATACCCAACTCGTCGAGCTCAAAAAAATCGCCTCCATCTTAGAAATATTCCAAACCTTATCCCGAAAATATTGAGCTTCTCGCGCCTATAGAATTTCACGAAACGTTTCTCCATGCAGCCCAGCTTGCCCAAAAATAAAGCCGAAGGATAGAGCATCTTTTTTTAGACAGCACGGACGAGCAGTGTAACGTCAGCGTGTCCGTCCGCGTTCGCCGATCGTCGTGGTCATAGTCGTTGGAACGTAACTACTCACAGGCGTTGGCAGCCGCCTGCCGATTCTTTTTGTAGTAGCTCAGAAAATTAACGTCGTTCTTGATGTCGGAGGGACGGAGATCGGCGACCTTGTAGTACGGCCTCCTGATGGACTGGGGGTTGCCCGCGACGTACTTGACGCAGGCCAGGGTGCCGAAGTCACCCCTTTCGGGCACCTCGTACCAGGAGACCGGCTCCGGGTCCTTCTTCGCGATCGACTTGCCGGACAGCAGGCGGCGCACGTAATCCCCGCTGCGCATACGTTCCGGCACGATCTCTTCCAAGAAGTCGCTGAAAATTCGAAGCTCCGAATTATTCTGTTGACCGAGCAGCGTCTCGTTTCGCTTTTCAATTCGTCGTTTACTGGGTCGTCCCCTGAACGATCACGGTCCTTTGTGAACAATCAACCCTTAACACGTTGAGCGCAGTATTATTGATGACCGACGGTTCTGAATTACTTGAGAACAATTGTAATAATGTAGATACTGACATACTTGAGAGTAGATAAAGATAACTGATGTTGAGAATGTTTGATAATGTCTGATAATAGTGTAATGGAAGGATTGTTACGATAAGTAATTACCACTAGGTTTAAGGGCATTTATTGTACACTTGATTCTATTATTCCTGAAAGAATTGATGCTCGTTTAATATTACTAAAATCCAATATGCGTCAATTAATAAACCTAGTGTTAATTGTCTGTGCTTTTCTTTGGTACAAAAGTAACTTATAATTACTTTGCTGCAAAAGTAACTATAACTCTATAGAAACGGTAGAGATTTTTGTGCTCAACGTGTTAAGGGAGCAATGCCGCCATATAAGCCGCTGTTACTTACTGTCAGTACAGTATATGGCGGCAAAAGTCGTTTTACTGTTTCGATCATTGTTACTGTTGTAATATTACAATGAACGCGTTATCGCGCTAGGTCACTTTTGCGAGTTCCGCTTATCTGTCACGGTATTTCTCGGCGGTGAACTCGAAACACTTGCGGTCCGTTAAGGGTTAAGATGAACATAAGTTTCTTAACCTAATTTAGAATGTACAGATAGACAGTCTGTGAATGATGAAGGGAGATGTGTGTTAGATTGAAGAGAACTCCACGTGAATTCTTGGGAGTGAAAGAAGCGTACGAATACCGCGTTATTCGTTGGATGATCTGGTGTGTTATAATGCAGAGGCAAGTGTTACCGATCGCACCCTGAAGGGTCAAGCGGTGATGTTAACGACGTTACCGATAGTACGAATTATTAATGATCAATTGGAAAATACCTTGCTACGGCTCGTGGGACGAACACGTGTACCCGTCGCAGAAGGGAATCGACTTTAGCGCGTATTTCCCTCGCCTCGTCGTCGAAGTACTGCGAATAAATACATATAAAATATGTATGCGTCCACAACACGCGGTACGCACTTGGTCGTACAACAGCGATTAGTATTTACGTACTACGTGTTCTCATTATTCGATTAGTTCCATCAACTGATTAACGAAAATCGTCAGAGTTATCGGTTGTTAAGCTGAGCGTACGTTTCACGGTGAAACTACGAGTTGCTGTCTAAAGAGTCTCTGGCGAACGGACGCTTCGAAAGTCAAAACACTATTGTTGACTAGCAAGTAACCTGAGAATAGGAATACTCGCCAGTCACAACTGTCAACGCTTCAACTGCCAAGTCACTGAAATCCGAGCAATCTAAAAGATTAATCTTAGCAACTTACAAACCGAATGACGTTTTACACAATACCAGATCAGTCTCTCCAAATCTCAACTCTAGTTCATTAAGAAAACCATCGGACTGGAACTTTCAACGAGTTTACGTCAATCGTCCACTCGCAAGAAACCATCGACGGGAACCCAGTTCCACCGTGAAACTTCAGCTTGAAACGTACACGACGCACGAGCAGCTCGTTCGATACTCGAACAAGGCTGCGTTTCATATGAAGATTATTAATCCGATCGCATGAACGCCGTATTATTCTTATTATGTCCGAAACAGACGACGCGATTCCGCTGAACGGATGATGTGACGTGCCATAGATGACGATGGAGTGGCGGACGCAACGACGAACAGATGATGATAATGATGAATGGAGGAGGCGACTTGTCGGTGACATAGATGATGGCTCGGTGACTTGACTCTCGCGTGCATGGTAATGCCCGCTATTCGTGTTAGAAGGCTGTTTCGATAGAAGCCCACTCGTGGCACTGTGCTAAACTTACGATGCGATCCCTGGATTGAAGATACTTCTCCGTGTAGGACTCGGTCGAGGGCCTCCACAGGTTCCGTATCCTGTTCAGCTCCGCTGCGAGGACGCTGGGTCGTACGCGCGCATGAACTCTTATCGGTACCAGGCTGCCGCCGTGGTACACGGTATGGTAGGGCATGTGGATTACGGTCACGAGCCTTTTGTGCGCCACGTATGGCATGCGAGGCATGTATGGTATGCCCCTCAACTAGATGTGCACGATACGATGCTTTACTGATCCGTCGATCATCGACTATCGTTACGTTCCCAGTGGCGGCAGGCGGCGATTAGCGTGCAACAAGCGTGCTCCTCCGAAGCTTGCGGCTGCGGCGGCGTGTCACGGTGTGTCCTCTGTTCATGGGGCGCGTGAACAGTGGGGAATCGAAGCGTGGCAATGATCGAGACTTTACACGTTGAATGCTGGTTGCCGAATGAGCAGATGCTGTTTATGGACGATATCTCAGATCTCGAACTGAAGAGAGGAGTTTGAGGAAGTTGGAGAATGAGTATAGAAGTTCGGACCTGTTAACCCTTTGCACCCGATAGTTTTTTACTGGAAATATTCGAGATTTCCCGACGTTTGAACCTAATCTAACGATAATTCACAGATGAATTAAGCAACAAAAATATTTTAATATTTCACGTAAGGATACAAAGTTTAATTTAAAGTACTAAATATTTCATAGTTTTGCTGTATCAAATCAAATGACTGAGAGTCACTCTAGTGCAAAGGGTTAATTTGATGATCTCGATGATCCACTGGTGCTAGGTTCGAAAGTTTGCTCTGTGAAACTGCAATTTTCACTTGTACAATATGTAATTCTTAAGCTCAATGTCAGTAGCCATCCAGTTTGTGAAAAAGATACAAACATCTTAAAGCAAAGGCTAAATGTTTCCTGAATCTAATTGACTAATTTTAGTTAAACTGAGATCGAGACTAAAAATTGATATCTCGCATTTATATTCGATGCGTCGCTTTGAAATACTCATTCTCCTTGTCAAACTTTGTCCTTTGCCACAGTTGCCTCTTCAGTTCATTGAGAATCGAGAAGACAGAAGTAGCCTAGTCGCTAAGCGACTTATCTATAGAAACATCATCATCTCTCTGATCCTACCGAATGCCCCACTGAATTTAGAGACACCAGCGACAGCACCAACCTATCGCAGTATCAGCAACACGCATCGAAACGTGTAAAGGCCTTCGCGAGTCTCGCGGCCACTACGAAGCGAATAAGCGTTCGGATGGGTTAGTCGGGTAGCGATATGAAGCTGCGGCCGATGAGCGTGAATTACTGGACAGCGTGAAGCGTTAAGCCGAAAAGCGTCGTTGTGATTCGCCCAGCAAGCTGATCGCAAGAGCTTGCTAGACGTTCGCTCGTAAATCGTGCGAATGGCGATCGAAAATGGCGATCGCCGCGCGTGGCGTTAAGGGAAGAGCAGTTCTGCAGGCGGTCTACGTTCGCGCGATCATCGTTAGCTGCGTACAGTGTTGCCTGTCACTTACCTGGAGAATAGTGGAGAGCGGTAGGGTAATGGGCCGAGTCTGTGGTCCCGTGTTTACAGAGGGGGCGGTTTTGTTTGTGCGTATCGTTTAACCGATATTCGACGATATTGGGCGTAATCCGGCGGCGGCGGGGGGCGAGGAGTCACGTGGGAAGAGCAGAGTAAATAGAAAGAAGAAGAACAACACCTGGTTAATGACCTGCTGATGCGGAGATCGATGATCTTGTCGGTATTCGCTAGATATTCTCTCTTTGTTCCGATCGTACGGCTTTTCATCTGCGCATCTCGTCTAACGGATCGCGGTAAAAGTGCGCGTCGCGAGGAAAGGAGGCGGACAGAGAGAAATAGAGAAACGAAGTTCTATGCGCGTTTGTGTTGATGTGTGTGTTTGTGTGTCTGCGACGCGAGCTCGCGTGTGTGTACATACAGGTACGTTTCACATTCGCCGGGCGATACGGCGAAACGACATTTGTATCTCGCGGACAGAACAGTTTGGCCAATTGTCGCGTTGTGTGTCTAACGAGATGACGGGGAGCGGGTTAGTCACGGTTAGTTCTGCTACGGTTCATCGGTGCCGGCGACGCAGGGTGTATCAGCGCGGAAGCAAGCGGTCGTGTTCTCTTGAAGCTTCTCTGTCGTCGCGGCAGGCTTCCCTTTTCCTTTGCTGCCGCGGTTCCGTGGGCTTCGGTCTCACGCGTCCCTTCTAATTCACACTGGCACTCTCCACGCTCAACAAAATACGCTGGCAACCCTCCGATAACCAGCTTCCGCGCGAGCATCGTGAACGTTGCGTTGTTCACGCGTTTGCGCTTCGGATTCTTCTGAATAACGTAGTGCTACGTTGCTTCTCATTTCGGAGGGATCTTGGTAACGGAGGCTTAATGTTTCTAGGGGAAACCGTGACGTAGTTCTATGGCGTTTTTAATACTCTTAGAAGGCGATTCTACGCCATTTTGAAATCCGTAGTTATTGACAATGGAATTTTAGATTTTAACACTAGATTCACCCCGTTTGACGGATATGAAATTCGAACATTGGTGACAACAGTAGAACTGCCAAGTATTTGAACTGAGTTTTCTAGATTTCTTTGTAAATCTGTGTATTTATTAAGATTTATTAACTATTTATTAAGAAATATCAATTGGCTGATGTTTCAGTATAAGTGTTACTAAATCTTTAACGATTTCTCAGAAGCATCTGTACTTTCTCAGTAATTGTAACAGAAGAAAGGTCGTTTTGCATATGGTAGTTCCAGTGTTCTCTGTTCTTGAATAGTTTCTGTATAAACACACGTCTTCTAGGTACCACAGAATAGAGTGTAGAACAACTGTAAATCTAGTGTTAACGTTCGTGTGCCAATTACGGTGCTTCAATCTCGCAGTTTCATTTAAACGGAACGAAACCGTCGGTACGATTTCCAATCGTGATCATGGAAGAACCGCGAACCGATTCGACGTTATTCGAGGGTTGCCAGAACTCGCGCGGATACAAAATGGGCCGTTATGCGGAAAGCAGGAAACAGTCCCACGCGTACAATCCATAATCGGACGGGGATCGATTACAGAAGAAGTTCTACTCTTGGGTGAATCGAACAGGGGGGAAGAAAAACAATCTGGGGTTCTGTGAAAATTACAAGATCGGCTGAAAATCGATTCGCGATCGCAATCATCGTCGGCTTGTTATGGCTGTTCGTTTTCCCGGGACAAGCGCAAGATCGTTGCGACTATGGCGTACCGATTGCCGGCTCAAGCGTTACGTGACTAATCAGCGACCGTGGACGGCGCCTAATTTTATTAGCGAGACTAGCTCCAAAACATCTAAATGCAGCTTTGGGATACATGTTTCGTTATAGTGCGTGTCAAAGATACAATACATAATTCGTATGACAAACGACAGAAAAACCGGGCTCCGTTCCTGTCCGCCGAGCGTAGAAAACGATCGAAAGAGGTCGGTGAACAATCGAAGCGCCAAAATCTGTTGAGAATCGTGTAATTCGCAAATGATCGGCGGACAGAAGCGGAGCGTGTTCGTTTCGCCGAAGTAGATGCCTACCGAAGATTGATCGTTCGCTTTCGTTCACTTTTATCCGCGATTTCGTCGAGCGCGATCGGTTAACACGTTAAAGGCGGAGCTCCTTCTGCTCTGGTTTCAATTTAGCTGACACGTTTCGAGAATTGCGTTTGTTCCAAGCAGCGGGCTGTTTCGTAGAATTAAATTAAACAACTTTTGAGTATCGCACGATTTACAAAGCGTCGATCCACGCGAACGTCGCCCGAACGTGTTAACCTCCCGACAATATGGCTGCCAATGGACCTCTCACGGTCAAGCTTGACTCCTCATTCCAAATTTCTATAAACACCTAAACAAATTCGAAGACAATTACAATCGCTATCCATACAAACAGTTTAGCCAAATCTTCACACGATTTAACAATTGAAAATCCAATCGCGAACGAGCTTCTCAATAGACCGTTAACCCCTTGCCACGATTCCCTTCGCGATTAAACCGACATGTTATCAACAATCAGAACCTCGAAGAGTTTCATCGATCATAACCATCAAATTCGTCCATAACATCAAAATTTTTCGATGCGCAGCGAAAATTGATTGTAACCTCTAAATCTGCGAGGCACGGGGCAAGGGGTTAACGGTGCGTATTGCTGGAGAATCGAGGATCAAAGACTACATCGATCTACGGTTGGGAAAAACGGGTTTCACGGGAACACGGTCGCATCGAGATCGGCGAAACGAGAAGCGTCGCGGGCTGCGGGGCTCAGACGCGGTAGGAGAAATGGCGGTAAGTGGTGCCGCCGGGCAAACGGCCGGAAGTGTGGGTCTCGTAGGAGGAGTGATAGCCTCCGGGACCGCCGCCGGTCGATGTCCTGGACGACCTCTCGGTCGAGTACGATCCGTACGGTCCGCTCTCCCTCTTGACGACGCTCTCTTGCGTGTAGCTGCTGGTCTGCGGGCGTCGCCTGTACGGATCCGTGGAGGAAGAGGTGCTCGACGAGCTGGTGTTGGTGTAGGCGTAGCTGTACTGCTCTTGGGCAGTCCTCAGCCCTGCTTCCGGATAGTCGCGGACCACGTAATGCCGGGGAGTCTATAGATTCGGGTTACACAAGGTCAACAATTTGGAGATCAGGCTTCCCCGGAGAACAGAACCGTCCGCGACCCCATCGATCCCCCGTCTCGTTTCGTTCCATCGGACGCTGACGGCCGGCGGACATTTTCCTACTCGTTCGCGAGTCCGCTCCTCTTTCCGTTTCTGTAGCCGTCGCCAAGACGGCAAGGTCGCGGGATCAGTGAAACGTTCGAGCTTCCGAATAAACTGTTATCCTCTCGGCACTGGGAGTTTGAGCGTGTTTCACTAGAACTACCAAGCTTTGATTTTTGTAAATTCCTTTGTGAAACTTGTGACCCTTAGCACTCCAGATGGTTTTGTAATCTGTCGGCAATTGATTTTTATGGTATTCCCAGCGGAAATGAGAAATGCTATTTCTTCGATCTTTTATTTTTAGTACAGAATTTCGGTGTGTGGAGAATCTAATAGTTTTAGGGTAGTTTCTTTGATTCATTGAAATATTTAATAACTGGTGCAGTATTGGAGCCTATAGAGTTCAAAGGGTTAAGATTCCAATTGGCTTGTGAACTATAGTTCAGCGTATTACTAAGCCTTTAACGACTTCTCAGAAAACTTTACATTATAACTGGTGCAGTATTGGAGCCTATAGAGTTCAAAGGGTTAAGATTCCAATTGGTTTGTAAACTATAGTTCAGTGTATTGCTAAGCCTTTAACGATTTCTCAGAGAACTGTAGCTTCTCAGTGCTTGTATAAAAAGGAGTCATTCTGACCCACCTGGTAGTTCTAGTCCTGACCCCTTGCCTTATTTATGTCTCAACTATGACACTACTTTGCAATGAATAATTTCTTAAGAACAGATTTAAAGGCATGTTCTAGATAAATCTTTGCCCAAAGTATAACTGATAATAGAATAACATTCAATCTGAATTCAAAGAGTAACGTTCACGTCCGATTCCGTTTCGAATCTACGTGTCCGACACGTAAGGCACGGGGTTAACGCGGTCCAAAGTTCAACGGCAATAATCGGTAGCTATTCCGTGGAGCCTAGAGTCTATCAAAGGCACTTCGTTACTAGCCCGCTGCATCTTGGCGGCGTTATCAACGAAACGAAACGTAAACGTTCGACGGTTGGATCCTGCCGGACGCCGTGTCTTCGGTTGGATTCTGTTCTCCGTTTCGGATCAAAGTGTGCTGGAGAAGAGGACGTCGTGTGTCACGGAACAGTGGAAACGGGGGAAGAACGACGCGACACGCGGAACGACGATTAGAGCGATGCCGCGGCTCAACGGTTCGTTTCCCGGGGGTGAGAGCGTTAGGGTGCACAGATTACACAGAAAGGTATTGTCCGTCCACCACTTGACAACCAGCGGGACGGTACATCCGCGAGGAACCTCTCTCGCGATGTATCTGTAGTTCACCGATTACTATACCAGCGATTATCCGTTTGAATCAGTTTCTGCGAAAACCCGGATCGCGCTTCTCTCGCGTCAATTCAGACATTGAACTACGGTTTTCTACTTTGCAACAGATTTGTGCGATCGTTACATTTTGCTAGTTGTAAGTGGGTAACAAAAATATAAATGAATAATTAGAAGAAATAAATAAGGTTCATCCGATTGTATGAACAGATTGATTAGCACTTTTCGGCAGTAACGAAAAAGATCGCGTTTGAGACTCGAACGGTTATATAACTACATAATACCGTGGAATAGCGAATTGCTACTGAAAAGTGAACGAGAAAAGCCAATGAATTCTAGTAGAAAACCGTTCGCAGACGAGAATCGTTGAAACTTTGAAACAGAGCATTAAAGCCTAGAGAATAGATAACAGCGAATCGGTTATTCGAACAATGAATTGACTCGAGTCATTTATACACAAGCTCGAAGTTCCCAATATGGCGGCTCGAGCGCTAGGGGTTAACGTTCCGCGAGTGGTCAAGTGGTAAACGGCCGATACAT